TCTATAGGTTTTTCAGTTGTTTCTCTAGCTGCTTCAGTAGTCTTTCCAGTTGTTCCAATGGTAGAATCTACAGATGATCCAGTAGTTTCTACAGAAKCACKTKTCTYGATAGGTGCTGTACCAGTTTCTACAGATGTTGTAGTTGMTTTAACAGTCATTCCACTAGTACCATCTACAGSTGTCACAGTAGTCTCTCCAGAYGCTACAGTAGTCTTTACCGTTGTTACARAGGTAGTATCTACAGTTGATGATGTAGTTTCTGCAGGTGCAGAAGTTGCCACCACAGACGGTGCAGTAGTTTCTAGAGGTCTTGCAGTTGTTCCACTAGTAGCATCTACATATGCCACAGGAGTCTCCACAGCATGAGTAGTTGTTTCTCGAGATGCTTCAGTAGTCTTTACACTGATTCCACTGGTAGTATCTACAGGTGATTCAGTAGTCTCTTCATGTGAAGAAGTTGTCTGGATAGCTGCTGCAGTAGTTTCTACAGTTGCTCCAGTTGTTACACTGGTAGTATCTACAAGTGTCATAATACTATCCACAGCTCGTACAGTAGTCTCTCCAGATGCTACAGTAGTCTTTTCAGTTGTTGCACTGCTAGTATCTAGAGGCGATCCAGTAGTCTCTATAGCTGAAGAAATTGTGCCGATAGGTGYTGTAGTACTTTCTCCAGTTGCTGAAGCAGTCTTAACAGGTAATTGTGTAGTTGTTGTAGAAGAAGTATCCACAGTTGAAGTGTATTCAGGTGGCGCTGCAGTAGTTTCTACAATTGATGCAGTTATGTCAACAGGTGTTGCAATAGTACCTTTAGACGATTCAGTGGTCTGTWCAGTAGTTTTTGCAGAAGTCGTGGCATCCGATTTTAGTGTTGTTCCTTCTGGTACTGGAAATATTACATCTTCTACAGTGGTYGTAACAAGTACTTGTGGAGTTGATTCTGGACCCGTAGTTCTTATTCTTGGTCTCCCTGATGTTCTTTGTGATGCTGCAGTGGTACCCACTGGTTGTGTAGCTGTTCCTTCCCATACTGAAGTCGTTACTTCTTTTCCTGGAAATATTACATCCTCTCCAGTGGATGTAATATCTTGCCCAGCAGTTATCACTTCCGTTTTAGCTGTTATCACTTCTGGTTGTCCTGGAGTTACAACTGGTGCTCCAGTACTC